GGCATCTCAGCATGGGGCATGTGCGCATTCTTCTTTCTTCCACTTGTTGTGTGCAGGTAATATCGCTGCGTAGATTTGATATCTTGGCCGATATCTATCGCCTTCCATTGTATGGTGTAAAGAGAAAGAAAAGAGTATTGAAATTGCCGCTTCCCGAGATCGCCTCCTTCTGCGCACAAGTAAGTACATCCATCCATCTCATGACATACATACATACATGCCTTTGTCTCTGTCGGTCTACCTGCGTGCGTGTCATCGATGTATGCGGATGCCTCGATGGAGGGGGTGCGTGGGGGGTGGTCGACTCGACCTCTATCGCCTTCCATTCAAGATGGACAACGAGGGAGGGAGGGAGAGAGGGAGGGATATATACCTGTGGCTGTCGCCACACACGGCATATCGGTCGGCGACCAAGAAGCGAGCTGCACTGATGATGATCGAGAAGCGGACAAGGAGGAGGGAGAGAGACAGCATACTCACGGCATTCATTCATCCATCAGCTGCTCGGCTGAAGATACACACCTGCATCACGGGGTACAGGTCGCTTCGAGGATTTCAAGAAGCAGAATCCTGGCAGCAAGAAGCACTCTGGGCTCCCGTACAGGGAGGATGTGGGTATTTATTGTCTAAGGAATGGCTGCATCCGTCCAGTCCATCGATGTGCGTGTACATGAGATGAGACGCTTTGGTTCCGCGACGTTATGGGGCGGCCGATTGGAGACTCAGTCGATATGAGTTACTCATCCCTAGCTAGACATGGGAACATCCTCTGCATATCTATGTGTCTGGCTGCGTGGGCCAGGCGTACTGAATGACCATCTATCTACTGTACCGACGTGCTTGAACGAACACTGGGTGCAGGGTAAGGTCTCCTCACGCGTGCGACTGTCTGTCCTGCCTGCCGCTGCGTGCGGCAGGGAAGCAGGACATGGATGTGCACACAAAAAGCAACACGCTACGCTGCGCTACGCTATGCCTAACTACCCACTTAGTCAGTCTACCGACCAAATCGACAAGGCAGTTGACCTTCTCGCTCTGTGTCTGTCTGTACACCACCATCACACCAACTCGCCCACTGATGCGCTCAAAACATCGCACCAGCTGCCCGCCTTGCGGAGAGCCAACCACATACCTAGCTGCCTCCCTACCCCACATCCAGAAAGTACCAAGTACTCTTAGCTACGTGACGCTATGCACAATGTCTCTCCGGCCGGACCTCTCGCGTGTTACGGCTGTACAGGAAGGCATTCCTCCCACGCGTATGCAATGACGGACATGACGCCACTACCGAAAAAACAGCAGCGCACTCGCCGAAGCTAAGCAGCTAAGCCGTAGCGCTATGACTAGCTCTCCCCTGGCCCCCTCAGCGGATCGCTAGACCTCCCGCCCCTCTCATCTTTCGCAGCCTCCGACACCAGCTGGTCCAGGCCCTTGACGAGCAGCCTCGGGGCCTCCCCGATAGCAGATGCGAGCAGCGTCTGGGCCATCGACGCCAGCAGCACCGCATCGCTGCCGGTGCCGGTGCCTTCCTCCTCTGCGTGACGGTAGTCAGCATCATCAGAGGAGGAGATGCCAATGCCCTCACCTTCATCTGGCCTCTCCGCGTAGACCTGGAGCGTCTCGTTGGGCAGTAAAGTCGCTGTTGGCGGCGTGCCGTCTCCATCCGCAGGATGCTCGTCGATGGGGGCTGACCGATCCGTCGACGACTCTGGCGGCTGTGGAGGGACGATGGGCGCTCTGTCTGGCTGAAAGGGGAAGTCCTCGAATGATAGGGGGGCGAGAAAGGGGTGCTGGCTGGCCATGGCCATGGCCATACTATCGTCGCCATGGTGGTCCAAGCGCACTGCAGACTCATGCCGCCGCCAGGTATCGTTAGATGCGTCCTCGTGTGCTGGTGCAGACGCAGACGCATTCATCAGGCTCTCGGCGTCCACCAGGACTTGTGGCCTCTCGTCATCGACCAGCATTGCCTCACTGCTCGTCTGCCCCTCCCCTGTGGCACCGTCGTCAGCTGTCGCTGTCGCGTTGCCAGAATCCACCTCTTGTCCACTCGTTGCTCCTTCTCCTGGCGCAGACAGCTCCTCGAAAACCGTCCTGGCCACTTGTTCCGCTGTGTCGATGACGAACGCCGGCGGGATGATAGGCAGCGGCGGCAACAAGGGCTCCAGCGCACGGGCCAACGGCTTCAAGGCCGGAGGGGTCCACTGCTCAATGATCTCATCCACGAGCGACTCTTGCGTCGAGGGTGGGGGGGCCACGGGGCGCTCATCTGTCGACGGCTCAGCTACTTGACCAGACGCTGTGGGGCTCTCTGGCAGGTTGGTGTCGAGCTTGACATTGAGTGGAGGGTCTCGTGTGGAAGAACCATACTTGAGAAGTCCTCTTGTGCCCAGTGCGCCATCGAGCCAGCTCATGCCCGCACGAAGTCGCTGACGACTCTGATTGATATACACCACACGCACGAGAGCTGTGTGTGGTTCGTGGAGCCAGCCTTTGTGGTCCTACCGTTGGCTGCCTGGCGATGGCGTGGAGCCGTCTGAGTAGGGCGGCGGGCATCCCTTGCACAGGAATCGGCAGACTGCCCAGCTGCGCCGCACCCATCTCAGGCCCGAAGGACAACATCTCCCCCAAGTGCGTATACCTGGACACACAACACACACACGTGTCACACACCATCCATCCCATCATGGCCGTCTGCTGCCCATCCCTGCCCCTACTTGTATTGCAGTGGCTTGAACCCATTGTAGGCCGCCCACACGTTCCACCCGACGTAGTCTGCCTGCTGCAGCGCCGCCTGTGCGCTCATCGGCACACCATCATGCCCGTCCACGACGGCGCAGTCGCCCAACGCATAGATGCCGGTAGAGCCGCTGACATCAGTGGCGAGCGTGGCTGCCAGGGTGCGATCGACGACGATGCGCCCGGAGCCGTCCTTGGAGAGCGGCAGCCTCTCGACCAACTCACACATCTTCCTCCCTGCCGTCCATACGACCAGATCAGCCGTCCGTGTCCGCACCCTGCCCCTCCCCTTTGCCGCAGGTATCTCCGTGACGACATCGACCTCCACGCACTCCCTCTCGCCCAGATGGTAGACGCCCCTGACCTCCCGCACAGCTGTGTTGAGACGCAGGTCGACCCCCAGCTGCCGCAGGGCGTCGAGAGCCTCGTTCCGCATGGCAGGGTGGGCGTCTGGGAGAGGTGTGGGTCCTCTGTGGATGAGCGAGACCTCGGTGCTGTCAGGGCCGAGGCGAGAGACGAGGTTGGTCGCCAGCTCCACACCGGCGTAGCCCGCTCCTATCACGATGACCTTGATCTACAGGAAGGAGGGGCCCAAACGATCGCGTGCATCGATGTTCGTTTTTTTTTGTCCGGACCTTTCGGTTCTGGTGTGCGTCGTCCGGCTCTGACGATCGATGGACTTCACCCCTGCAGGCATCCATCAAACACACAGGCCCAGCACGCAGCACGGCTGTCATTCTTCCCTTCTCGCGCCGTTTCCCTCCATCACTTACCGGTCGACCGTCGCGTCTTTTCTCCTCTTCTGCCGGCGTATCTTGTCCTCCAGCTCAGCGATGATCCCCTGCAGCGCCCTCGCATCGTCCAGCGTGTAGAAGGGCACGCAGTGATCGGCAGCACCGACACACCCGCCGAACGACAGCACGCTGCCCGTCGCCAGAACAAGTGTGTCGTACGTTAGCGGAGGGGACACGCCTGATGCGCCCACTGATGCCGCCGTCCTGCGGCCGTCGGGTCGCTTCTTCCTCCGTAGTCTTCGGAAAGGGAAGGCCAGCACGCTGAGAAGCCGGGCGGCAATGTGCAGTCGCCAGGAAAAGCTGCGACGGTCTGGTGGAGGGAAGGGGGAGGGAGAGGGGGAGGGGATGGCCGAGGAGGGATCTGGCAGGGGCTCGAAGTGGAGCTCCCTGTTGTCGACGTCTACATGCGCCACCCTGCCGCGCATGAACGATATCGGCACCTCCGACGACTCACCTGCGACGAGGCAGGCACACAGATCCAGCGATGGATCCATCCCTTCATGTGACCTCTTCCCTGCCCTCCCCTGTCCTCACCTTCCAGCAGGTCGGCGTAGAGCGGCGCCACTTCATCCTCACACGCGGCACCCATGGCCAACTCATAAAGCAGCGGCAGGAACACGAAGCGCTCCTTCTCGTCTATCAACACCACCTCGGGCACCACCTTCTTAAAAGGAAACCGGGAGAGCAGCAGAGCCGTGTAGAGGCCGCCGAAACCGCCTCCAACCACACAGATGCGCGGCCGCTTTGCCACATCGGCGGCATCAGCGTCTTGGCGCGAGTTCGCAAATTGTGAGTGCCACCGATGAGCTGGCGGATCGGTGCGGCGTCGATTGAAAGATCTGCGGTGGCGGAGGATGGGAGAGGGCTTGGCGAATGCCGGCGGTGCCTTGGCTGTGAAGGGAGATCTTGCATCGCTCTCCCATGAATAAATGAGGCCGCATAAGAGCAGGATGACGCCCCGCATCGCGGAGGCGCTAACTTCAGCGACGCAGCAGTGGTTCTGAGACTTGCGAGCTTTGAGCTTGCAGTTTGAGTTGTGTGTTGCTGTTTGAGGCTTCGCAGGGCGAAGCAGAGCGCGGCATCTGTCGAAATCGACCAATGCAGCGCACATCCACTCATCCCATCTGCTCGCTGCATTCCCATCTCTCACCATAGGAGCACCGCATCAGCCATGAAGGCATCGGCGTCGAGCAGCAAAGCCACGGCAGACGGCATCCACAGGCCAACGGAGAGGATGAGCGGCCGGCCGATGCTGCTCAACGTGGGCGGCTTCGTCATGGCTTTCCCTCGGGATGTGCTGCTGTGCGAAGGGCTGCGGGACACCTGCCTGGCGGTGCTGCTGAACCGCTTCGACAGCTGGATGATCACAGACGACAATCGCATTCACTTCATTGACGCAGACCCCTTCTACTTCATCTGGTGAGGGGGAGGGAGGGAAGCAACATGACAGGCAGCAGCACTCGCTGTGTGTGTGTTCAGGTTGGCTGAGAAGCTGCGCTGCCTTAGCTGCAGCCGCATCGACGTGAGTGAGATCATCGAGGGCTGCCCCGCACTGGCCTTCTACCACAACCGCTTCTTCGCCAAGACGGCCGTCACCATCGAGCCGCAACACGGTGACCACGACAGCGAGGCGTTCCGTGGCTTCAT